ACTGTTTAAACATATTGAATAAATTTAAATTCCAATATATAATTGAATAAAATTTTCTTGTCTCGTGCTTGTGCATAAATATCAAAAGTAGAGGAGCTAAAGCCTAAAGAGTCACAAAGATGTGCCCAGCAGCCGATGATTTGAATATTTTGAACCTGTCAATCCTCTTAAAATCACAAAATACGTAAAAAGAATTATTAAATAGAAAATATTTATACCAGAATGACAATCAAATTTCGCGAAATGTGAACATATTTTTGTTGCCGAAAATGATGTCTATACACAAAATTGTTTTTTAATTCGCAAAATAATTTTGGGAAAATTAAATTTCGTGAAATCTAGGACGTGGCATTCGATTGGTTTAGACGTTCTGTTTGGTATTCAAACAAACCGAAAAAAAACAACAAACCATACAAATCTAACAGAATAAAACCTTTGCCCCTTAAAATCTACACGGCTCCAATCCTTGCATAATCCGAGCACAGGCTGGCAATATATACGAGAACCCAGTCTGAATAAAGATAGGATAAAAATTGTTTATTTTAACTGTTTAAATTAACAAAAAGAAGTAAATAAAACAATTTAGAAAACTCAGATATGGACTTGAAATGAAAGTGCTGAGTTCTGATTTTGTTAATGGTTGTCATTGTAAATAGATAAAATAGAATAGATTTATAAAAAGATTTTTTAACATTTTACAAAATTTTGTTGTTAAACCAAATTCGGGAATATTTTTTCATACAACTTTTACAGTGGGTGCTGGGCAAGGGAGTTAATCAATTATAAAAAAAGCTCACAAATAAGGATTGGCAACCAAGAAAATAAAATACTTTTTTATATGATTGTTGCTGATCTGAAAGCTATTTTCACATTTTGAAAAAAAATGTGGCAGATTTCTTGTTAATATTTCAGTTTCCTAATTTTATTTGTTGAATAAGAGAAACAGAGGATTTATTTGCCAGCATTTAGTTTCCCTTATTTATGGAAAGAACTAAATTATTTTAATATTTTGATTCTCAATGCCGTAATGATTTTTTAATTACAAAAGAACATAATGTTTTTCTTTCTATTTCGTTTATATTTTACGCTTGAAAAAGATAACTTTGCAGACTTGGCACATTTCCATCACTTAGTGTTAGAAATGGGCCAAGTGTTAGATTTTGAACTAATTTCCCCTGGAATATCAGAGACTCCACAAAAAACATTATTAAAATTGTAATACTTCAAAGATTTTGAAATCCAACAAGAAAACCAAGAAAATCTGCGAAAGTTCCTATTTCCTATTTAAAAATGTGAGGCATGGCTTCTTGAAGAAAGATTTATAAAATAAGGTAGGATGACTGTTATGGAAACAATTACAATCCTTGAAGCCCAACAAAAGTAAATAAAAAAGATTTTAATTTCTGTAATACCACATAGTTCTGCGAGATGTTACTAATTGATTTCTGCTTAAAGGGACCGTTCACTTATTTGGGTATGATAGGGAGTAAACTAAATAGCCCATTTGCTATTCATTTGTATAAGTTTTACTTTTTAAAGACGACGATGCTTTTTGTCATATGTCATGCGGATTAAAAAATTCTAAATATTAGATTAAACTGTAGTATCTAATTTTTAATTGTAAATATCTTTAATTTTTTCAAAGTTATTTAAGAATTGTCTATTTTCAAAATATAACTTTTTTTTAACACTTAATTGATTGATACGTTTTCCTACTTCACCAGAAATCCCCGAGTTGGAATCTAGGAACCAGTTTGACGGAGAGAGAAGGTCGTCATTGTATATGCATGTTAATTTTTTTCTAATTCTAAAATCAAAAGTTTCATATTTTATTATGTAATATCTGACACATGATATGATGTCACTAAAGTATGTTATTGTTAGATTTTATTGGGCTGTTGTTACTCCTATTACGCTATTTCTCCAGCCATAGTTATCTTTGAAAAGTAAGACTAATGAATAGCTATGAGGCTATTTAGTTTACCATGAAATTACCCAAATAAGTGAACGGTCCTTAGTAAATCGTAATTAGTTGAAAATTACGCAAAATATTTTAATTTCAAGATTTAAATGTCGAAGGTAGGTTTACACCATTATTAGGCAGATAACAGGGTTAACGTTTTTGGGAAAAGTGTTCAGCTATTTATCAATAATTAACAATTTAAAAAATATTTCTAATTAAAGATTTTTTCATGTTTTTTTCATGTTTGACCAAAATCCTGAAATGAGGGAAAAAATAAAGTAGAAAGTAATTGTTTTTAAATCGCTATGCAACAACTGTTTGACTACTGCCTGAAATCTAGGAAACCGAATTTATGGCTTTCAATTTGCAAACCAATCAACTAACCATGGCTATCTCCAGACACATTGAAGCACTCAACAGTGTATAACCTTTTGCAGAAAAATATTTAAATTGCGAATTGTTCGGTTTACATATATATGTTATGTTATATATGTTAATATTTTATCATATATTACAACCTTTAAAAGCAAACTTGCGAAACGAAAAAAATAGATAAAAATAAGATATCCATGTCTTTCTAGTTAACGATTTCTCATGTTCAACTATGTTTTGTCTTCAAAACTGACTTATAGTGAATATCTGCTGCAAAACTGACTTATAGTGAATATAATGAAAATAATGACGTAAAATCTCATAGCTTAACATTTTCTAGCCAAAAAGACTGGAAAAGGGAGGGGTGGCTGCTCTCCGGGTTTTGAGGAAAAAAATTTTCTTTCTTAGTTTTCCTCAGATTTTTTTAACAATATGATGATTTTTGGTGTAATGCGGCCCATATAGAAGGCACTAAATTTGTTATAGAACAATTTTATTTTGTGACCGTTCAGTAAAAACGCATTTTTAATGGCATCAATCAATAAAAGATTTTTTAGGCAAAAAATTGGATTTTTCTGAAAAAAATTGGAAATAAGATAACTTATAAAGATGTATTTAGACCAGCTCAAATGAAACCTTTATGTATCTAGCTAAAAACAGATATTTACATTTACCAAAAATCTTTAATTTGCGATGTTTTTCCTGAAAATATCTGAACAAAGACAGTAAAAAAAAAGGGTAGCAGAGTCCTTTTTCACTTTTCGGATTAAAAGTACCCATTTTAAAGGACTTTTCATAAAATGTCGGATAAATTTTCACATTTATACTCCGAAACCCTGGGAGCAACTCTAAAATCCTGGAAGCACTCCAAAACCCTGGGAGCAATTCAAAAACCCTGAGAGCAGCCATCCCTCATTGGAGGGTCATGAATAGATCCTCCCCCTTCTACACACACACACACACACACACACAAACAAGAACACTGTTTAAACATATCTTTACCTACAAAGTTCTGGATGACTTTTTAATTGCATTGGTAATAATTCTAATGTAGCTCGTAATATCGTTTTAAAAAGA